TTTTCTAAAACAAGTGTCTGAATATTAGTGGTGGACGACCATTGATAATGTACTCTAGATGTAAACTGTGAGTGTCATTATACTCACACATTAACAAACTTTTCAGGAAACTGCTAAGTCCTTCTAGAAAACATACATTAAAATAGTGACAAGGCCTCCAATTCTCTTAATGGAAAAGTGAACTTAAGAGAGAAAGTTTGTTTTGCTATAATAATAGGACAGTCTCACTTTATAAAGCACAGAGGCTGAGGTGATGGTGAGATTTTTCCCTTAGTTTAACTGGTCTATATGCTCCATTGCTGAAGGCTACAGCTTTATAGTAGTACACTCATAACTTGTTCTGCAACAGCCAGAAAAAGGCTAAAATGATATGCTTCTACTCCCATAAACCAATTCTTCAAACTATAGCAGAAAGAAAATTTAATGTAAGTGTCACACCTAGTTATGTATATCTATAAAATGCAAAACAGTTAATCTATGCATGTTCATTATAGTCTTCAGACAAAAGCACTGTTACAATGTCCCAAATTAAATGAAATTTACAACTTGAAACCCATGTATATAAGGAAGACATTTTCTTTGCAGAAGGGGCCAATTGGTAAAACATTCTATTAAAAGTAAGACTCTTCCTAAAAGATGTGCTACAAGTCAAACAACGCTACAATAAAAAACACTACATAATATAGATGCACATGACAAATGCAAGCAACACAAGCAAGGTTCTTTTCTTAGGCTGGCGTACATTACTACCAAATATAAATCAAATACTTCGTTGCATTCGGCACCAATTACTATGCTTCACAACACTACCTAAATGAAAAAATTAAGCACTATTTATTCAACATATTTTTGAACTTTAAAAGGAGACAATTCGCATTTATTGTACATTACATCCAAACATAGACTGCATATCATACAATAAATCCCAACCTGGACCACGAGGAGGTAGTCCCACGTTCCAAGTCAAAAAAATCACAACTCAGCAATTTTACCTTAGCAGCACATTACAGCAGTTACTCTTTCTCTCATTTGCCACATACAGTTCAAAACACGTAGCATACTAGTTTATATGTGTGGTTTAGCATTTAGTTTATTTCACTATACTCCATGTACAACGCAACAGCCACCACCAAAAAGCATGGCATGGCATGTTGTTTCACTATTAGTGACTCTCAATATGACACAGAAGTTGCCACATAACACATGGTACTACTTACATAGTTTCACTACCACATTGTGACACTCAGTATAATGCAAGAACAACAGCCACCCAAAGCGTGGTACGACATGTAGCTACATTCAGAGTTTCTGAACCACTCTGTCAAATGTAGCAACAGCTACCACCCAAAGCTTGTCACAGCAATTGACCATTAAAATTTATAGACTTTCATCACTCTTAGAACTTTAATAAGCTGCCACCCAATGTGTGGCACAGCACCAAAAAGTTAAAGTCAGCCTGTAGTCAACTGTCATAATGTCATTACATGTCATATGGTACATGACCAGTTTGTATATTAGTAATGTGTATTTTAATGAAATCATTTCTCAGAAACTGCCATTAGCATACTGTGCTGCAATGGTTTAGGCAAATGTCACAAGTGTAGACAGTTTGTCTACAACGAGAGGGAGAGGGAGTATTTCCATACTGAAGTGGCAAAATATGATAAGAATACAATAATTAACTACAAACAAACAAGATGCAGTTGTACTTTAACTATAACTAAACCATGCACAAATAAAAAAACTAAATTATCTTAAGTAATAATTGTACTATATCAACGAAAATAAATTTATTATACCATCAAAAACAATGATCTTACAAAATTTGTATCTAGCCAAAGAAAATCAATTTAAACAATTCCACTCTAAAATCAGGGGCAGATCTAGGGGTTGGCCAAGGTGGGTCAGGCCCACCCAAAAATTTTGTGCACTAATTTAAAATCAACTTTTTCATGTGGATGACAATGTAAACTGTGAGGCATGACTATGCAAACACTTTGTAATGCACAAAGGAGCTCATTTTAACAGTTTCAATGTTCAAAATTATGAATGCAGGTCTTGTTGACCACACCCACTAATTACCACACCCAAATGATCAAGGCCCACCCAAAAATCGAATCCTAGATCTACCCCTGTCTAAAATAGCAAGTCGAAAATGTCATTACACTGCTTCTAATCAAGTACAGGTATCACTAAATCATAGTGATTACGATTAATGAGGTACAGATACAACATGACTTTCATGGGTCTCATGCAAGTTTTGTTAGTGAACCAAGGCACGTAAGAATTCCAATCACGGTATTTATAATATTCTGAAATTACCATAATCTTAACTTGAAACATTGTGGCAGCTGCAAATACCTCATACTCAGTCGACCATGAGGTTCCTAAATAGAGTTTGTGACTCCTCACTGCTTTTAATGCATGAATATTGTAATAAATTCCCACACGAATGAGTCTACCAAAGGCAAGAACATTGGCAGTGTCAAGCATTAAATAAATTAAGAACATATGGACTGCAAGATGATTGTCTTCAGTACCAGTATTGGCTTTTCAAATTGTCCTATAGAAACATGCCCCATCACCGACAATCTCATCCCGAATATGAGGAGCTATTTTCCTGCAAGGAACCTGTTTGACAGCATCAACACGTTGAACAACTGCAATACCAGAAAGCTTTGATATAATTGCAACTGCTTTCTGTACCCAAACTCTATTGGTAGAAGGAGGTGGTAACGTTTCATGCAAAACCTTTGAAGCACCCATTGTCTTTTCTTCATGAATTAAACAGTCTGATTCAAGACTGTGAAATGATTTTGTTACTACTGTTTGACTCACAAAGTCATTGTGAGGAACAGTTGCACAATCAACACCAGTGGTTGTGTGGTCTTTTATTTTGAATGGAAAAGGGGTCAGGAAGCACCTTGGTACAGGAAGCTCCAACTTCTTACTTTGAAACAAACTTGGAATGCATAGAGAAGGAGAACCTACTTCTTCAGCCACTGCTATATGGAAACTCTGCTCTTCTAATTTCGATGAATTCTGTGTCATTGATGGTCAATGGCACTTACTTAAAGATACCTGCATGTTGTGCATAGATGTCGGAGTACGTTTGGATAAAACGGGTCATTATGCAACAAAATTGGAATACGTACAGAAGGAGAGCCCGCTGTTTCAGCCACTGCTAAATGCGAACTTTGCTTATTGAACTATGATGGGCCTGGGGTCATCGACAGTGAAGGGCACTTACTTAAAGATACATGTACCTCCGGCACGTTGTCGACAGAAGTTGGAGTACATATGGAGTGTGAGCCTACTTTATGAACAGTTGGTACAGTGTGTGAAATGTGCACCACAGGAGTACTTTGCCGTAGAATTTGTGGTAGAACAGGAGTATTGGATGGCAAACAGCATTTTGATACAGATATCTCCAGCTTTTTACCAAGAATAAAAGATGGAGTGGATACAGTAGGAGAGCCTAATTATTCAGGAGTTGATGCATTGCATAGCACAATAGCACTTCCAAGAGCAGGGGTACTTTGGTCTCTAATTTTTGATAGAACTAATTGAGAAGGGACTTTCGTTAAATACAGGCCCATTTCCTTAAGTGGTGGTGTCCACAAGGCACCAGAAGTGAGTGAGCTATGCATAGCCCTTTTCCTATTTCTTACATTATCAGGGCAATCCCGTTTCTGAGATGGATAATTGTGACATGCACAAGATTCAACAACCATTTCATCAC